CCCCTCCCCTGCTGTAGGATCCCTTTTTAAACAAAGTCTCCAGCTATACAGACCCACCCAAGTAGTGGTAGCTGTGTTGCAGCGGAGTCCTGCTGCCAGAGGGGACAGCAGGGGTGCCAGGAAACAACAGAAATGTGGAGCAGTTGTCAATATGGTGTATCCCAAATCCCTAAGTGTTGATGAGGGGGAATCGCTCAGCAAAGGGTTCCTTCAAGAGTTCCTTCCACTGAGCTTTATCACAGGGAGGGGGTGATACAGCCCATTGAATGTTTGAGTTGTGAGAAGTAAAACCATCTAGAAGGGAGCTGAGAGAGATCCTTCTTTCAATAAACTGTGTGTGTGTGTCTTAAATGATTTAATTCTGACTGTTAAGTATTAAGTTTCTTCGTACAAAAAGAAAAAAGTGTCTTAGCAAAAGTTTTTCCAACATACGTGCTAGCGTAGACATGGCCTAAATCATTTGAATTGCTGGAGTGTTTTCTAAATGGAAGTTGCTTGAAAAGAAGATTTGTTTCTAGAGTGCAGCAATACACACAGCTGTGAAAGCTTTCACCAAGGTACAGAACAAATAACTCAGTGCATCTCTGACTGGCTCTTAACTGATAGACAAAGAAGCTTTCATTCCTCTGACCTGGTCTACATTGAGGGGGAGTAGGGAAAAATTGACCTAAGATACGCAACTTCAGCTACGAGAATAGCATAGCTGAAGTCCATGTATCTTAGATCGACTTAGAATCACTTACTTTGCGTCCTCGCGGCGTGGGATCGACGGCTGCCGCTCCCCCAGCGACGCCACTTCCGCCTCTCACCCTGGTGGAGTTCCGGAGTTGACAGCAGAGTGATCGGGGATCAATCACTACCTGTGGCCCCAGGCAGAGCAGCCGTAAGTGCTAATTAGACTTCTGGAGAAGCAAACCGAAGTAGCTAAAATACTGGAATAACATTTAAAAAGCTGTTGTCCTTAACTAAACAATAGCTGTTCTTTTAGCTGAAGAATTGCAGCTATTACAGGAAATATGACTTTTAGTCCCATTACTGACTTCTCCCTAGGAGTTAGTACACAAGCTGTTTGTGGACAGAAACATGTTATGAGCAAGGTTCCACCAGAGTTTCTGAAGCAGTACTGAACACACTCTGCTCCTGCCTACTCAGGGAGTTAAACCATCATCTACATCCATTGCTGAGATCATCATTGTTATCCAAGGTTGACCCTGGGATTTTCAAAAGTGCTCAGTATTGGCCTAATTGCTCACTGATGTCAGTGAGGGATTTACCTTTGACTGCAATAGGAGCAAAGTGAGGTCCACCGAGAGTGCTTTCAAAAGTCTCACCCTAAATTTCCTCGGGAAGACAAAGTTCAGATTTTCTTCCTACTTCTCTGACCTCTCATTCCTTCTTCCATGACCACATAATCTAAGTTGCCTGACATGGCCAGGCGCCACATACTAATCAGTCATAATCATTATAGCTTGATTACAGACTTGATAAAATTTAACAGCAAAAAACATTGCAATATTTAAGGTTGCTATACTCACAGTTCATGAAATCTCTGAACTAAATGTATACAGGCCACTGTATATAAACATCTTTAACTCTATTCCTATATCCCTATCTGGCCTCAAATCCCTCTTAAACCACTCCCCTAAGATTGTAACCAGTCTGGGCTACAAATTCCCACAAAGCAGCATGCATATGCTGCATACAGCTCATAGAACCAATCATAGACTATTCTGCTGCTCACCCACCCATTCATTATGCTAAGCATCTTACCCTTCATATCCAGACCCGTGACTTGACCCTCCTTTGTCTCATCTGTGCTCCTTGATCAGAGCACCTGTCACAAGGTTCTCTACTCACCCCTGGGGGCAGGCATTTCTTTGCGGCTCACTTGAGGATTAACTCTCGACCAGGCTCCTCTTACTGTTGTTCACCCTTTGCGTGCTTCTCTCTCTGATTCTCTGGACTTGGTTGCGCCTTCTTCATGTGTTGGCCCTCCGTCCAGGTCACTATAGTTTTCCCCTTTCTGGGGTATCAAAGTTTCTCCATACAGACTGTCTCAGGCAGTCTTCTAGTTCATTGCTAAGACTGTGCCACTTTCCCAGTGGCAGGAGGAACACAGGTCTGCCCACTACTCCAGATTCCAGTTCAGGGACTCTTGAATCCATGGCCAACTCTGCACTGTCCTAAGCCTTGCTGTTATTTCCCTGAGCTGTTTCCAACTCCACCATCTCTCTGGGTATGCCCATCCCTCAGGGGCAGGCTCACAGAGATCTACTTTCCCTCTGGGTTTTCTCTTTTTCCCCTCTCTAAGCCCAGTGAGAAACTGCAGCCGCCTCCTGCCCTCGCTGCATGGCTTTATGTGAGCTAGACCTGCTTCTGCTCAGCTGGGCTCCATCCTTAATCAGGGATTGCTTTATCAAGCCTAATTCTCCTCTAGGTATGGTCTAACTGATCAATTAATCCCTTCTGAGCCACATTGACCCTTTTGTGCTAGTGTGGGGTGAACACCCCATCACACAACCATAACATATCACATCTTGTTTTCCATACTCAGACCAGAAACAGCAACTTTCCCCTATCCATTGTTCCACTAGGAGGCAAAATGCCCTAGTCTAGCCCATTTCCCCATAGTATATGTACTGAAAATCCCACTGTACTGCACCTTCTTTGTTCACTTTTCTACTGTAAGTCAGAGACCCCACTTTCCAAATATAGACCATAGATTCACCTTTCTCGCACACTCTCTCTCTTACTCATGTGCACACATTTACGTGCGTGCGCGCACACACACACACACACACACCCTCTGTTCTGCAAAGCTTTGGAGCATCTTAGGTTTCCCATAGACTTCCTAACTTACTAATTGGGCCGACCAGGAGCGTGTGCAGAAATTTAACGTTGATCCCTTTTAGGGGGACATGTTCTGTGCCTCCCCACCCCAGGTCTGACAGGAGCTAGCTCTTCCCTTCTTCCCACCCCCCACTCCAAAAGGAGCTCACTCTTCCCTCCCTTCCTCTATCCCCCTCCTAAACTAAGGGAACCAGATCTGCATATAATATTCCATGTGCTGTGGCACCAGGGCTATGGAGAGCAGCACTATCAGCTCCCTAGTTTTACATGAGGTCTTTTGTGTTGGTGTTCAGTTGGTGACACTCTTCCCAGTGAGTCAATAATAAACCAACACCCAAATATGGTGTATAGGGTAGATAAAAAGTAAGAACAAGCACTCCCAAGCGCCAGAGATGTTAAATCTGGTGTCACTGACAAATTTCAATTGAGATTATTCCGTTTTGCTTGTACGTGTGATGCTTCTGCTTTTGATTGGATACAGAATCCTTCATTTGTTGTACAAAATGTTGCACACTGTTGCTTGTGCTGTTAAACGTTCTACTCCAAAGATGATTACATTTCTGCAGTGGGTGAAATGTTCCCCATATAATCCTTACCCACCTTGCGAGGGTGATTGATATGAGGCTTAATTTGTTAATATTTGCAAAATGCTTTGTGCCCTTCATAGGAATTGTTATATTCATTTAAATGTTCTCTTTGCATTGATTTTTGTGTTTCTCTTGAAAAACTAATAACGATTTTTTTTAAGATAAAAGGAAAGCATTAGGGAAGTTCAAAATATTTCTATTATGCCCCACAAATAGTGCTTTAGTTTTTGTTTTTTTGTCTTGTAATGTATCATACTATGAGGTCCTTTTTGTTTGCTTATTACAACCCTAGGGGGCTTTTTTAAACTCAAAGTTAGCTGTTTCCCCCCATTTGTATCTTTTGCTATTGAGTCAGTCTCTGTAGGTGGATACATTTTACATTTATTGTAACATTTCAAATGCCATGCTATATAATAGTTTTAAAACTGCATTTATTGTGCATCTTCTATAGCAGGCATTTAAACCTCTCTCTAAAAACTACTTATTAGTCTTTATTTCTTGTGCTTGTTCTTAGCACAAAAATGATTTTTTAAATGATTATATTTCACTTGGCCACAAACAAGGAATGTCCTAATGGACCACATTCTGATATCCTCATTCATGTTAACTACTACTTAATTCCATCAATGAGACTACCCAAAGGATTATGGTGCTACTTAACATGAATAAGGGTGTCAGAGTCTGGCTGTTGGAGATTATTCCTGACATAAAGAACTATATGGATATAAAACAAATGTCTGATTAGTCTGTAAATATCAGGATGGTTTCATTGTGAAATTCTGCAAAGCTGATTGTGTGTGAGTTAAATACCGTCACATCAATTAAATGTGATTTAGTGTCAGTTACTGGAAGGCTCATAGTCTGACTATTTGTAGTGTGTGCGACTTTAATATATAAAATGTCTGCTTTTTTGTTTGAAATATGAGGCCATGGTCAAAAAATGTTTTTTATCACTTGAGAAATTTCAAATGGTGGGAGGGCTCCCCTTTTCTTTTCTCCTTTTTTCCTTTTATTTTTTAATTTGAACAGAGATTTCCCAATATCTAATTTCTCAGTGAGGACTAGTTACTTTGACATGTTTGCAGAAATTTGCTTTACAAATAGTTGCATTATAGACATGAACACAGACTAAATTCTCCAGCCCAGGTAAGTTCAGCAGAGTCCAAGGAAGCCAGGGTGCTGAAACGAGGGGTACTGGGCGTGCAGCAGCACCCCTGGCTTGAAGTGGTTTCCATCAGATACAGGGTTGACAGTTTTGTTCAATGGCTTCCAGCACCCCCACCATTCAAATTATTCCAATGCCATTGCTGGAGGCAGCAACATTTCATTCCCTGTAGCAACATGAATCTTCAGGCCAGATGTCCTTATTTGGGCAGAAGACACTGGTATGGTGGAAGCTATTGTAGCAGCCATGGAGGAGATGAGCATTCTGTTTCTCCCCCATTGCTATTTAGGCCCATTTGTTTAGGTTTTTCACAAGGAATAGGACTGGGGCTGGAAAGAGTGAAATAGTTTTATGTCCAAGCATATTAAGTTGCCATGCATGTCTCTTTTCTCTCCCAGGTTTACGTGGTGCAATAGCGTTTGCACTGGCTATTCGGGACACAGAATCTCAACCCAAACAAATGATGTTTACTACAACATTGCTTATTGTGTTTTTCACAGTCTGGGTTTTTGGTGGGGGCACCATGGCGATGCTCACATGGCTTCAAATCAGGTTAGTGTTATCTGACAATTATTTAATACCGTAAAATAATAGAATGGCTCTGGCCAACCCCTGAACTTTTCAATACTCATTGTTCTCAGTAGAGATGGTTACAAGCCATAAAGCTTGGATCTGGCTCTGAAAGTCTCCAAACTTCAACAGGGTATGGATAAGTGTTCTCCTTCAGATCCATCTGATAGGGATAGGTCCAAGGCAAAAGGGGCAAAATGCTTGGGGTGGGGGAGTTTGTCCAAATGTCTAATTCAAGCCCATCTCTGATTCTTAAAGGTGTGTTTCTCTACTGTTCTTTAAACTCACTATTATCATTAAATGCTGACAAAGTGTGCTTGGCACTATACAAGATTAAAAGATATAGATACAAAAACAGTTCCTGCCCTAATCAAAAACTTGTTCACAAAAATGCTACACGTAACTTCAATGCTTATCAAAACCCCTTCCTGGAAACTATTGCACAGCCATACTAGTGACACAGACAGGCAGATAGCAAAATGTATGCAAGAAATGCGCTCACCCAGGTTGTCAAGGGACAATGGCAGAATCTCTTGGAACTGTGCACACATATATACACACAGACTCTTATGTCAACATCAGGAAGAAGGAAATTATCATTTTATTTATTTAATTTTGTTTAATTTCTAATTGCAAAGAAGTGATATTTAGTCAGAAATGTGATATGCGCTTTGATTGAATGCTAATGAGCATTTTGTATAATGGGTACATCATATTTGCTGTCAAGGTTCCCTCCCCACTCTGAACTCTAGAGTACAGATGTGGGGACCCGCATGAAAGACCCCCTATGCTTATTTCTACCAGCTTAGGTTAAAACTTCCCCAAGGCACAAATCCTTCCTTGTCCTTGGATGGGTACTGCTGCCACCATCAAGTGAGTTAGACAAAGATTCAGGAAAAGGACCACTTGGAGTTCCTGTTCCCTAAAATATCCCCCCCACCCCTTCACCCCCTTTCCTGGAGAGGCTTGAGAATAATATACCAACCAAATAGGTAAATCAGATTCTTAAAAAACAGAACTTTATAATAAAGAAAAAAAAGTAAAAGAAGCACCTCTGTAAAATCAGGATGGAAGGTAACTTTACAGGGTAATCAGATTCAAAACACAGAGGATTCCCCTCTCGGCAAAACTTTAAAGTTACAAAAAACAGGGATAAACCTCCCTGTAAGCATAGGGAAAATTCACAAGTAAAAATAAAAGATAAACTAACATGCCTTGCCTTATTTACTTACTCTTTTTGCAATATTGAGAGTCATTTTAGGATGATTTTAGGAGAAGGCGTTTTCTGACCTGATGCTTCTCTGCTTCCCCAGAAAACTCACAACACAGAGCACAAACAAAGCCTCCCCACACACACATTTGAAAGTGCCACATTTGGTCAGGTGCCAACCAGGTTATTTGAGCTTCTTAACCCCTTACAGGTAAGGAGGAATTCTAGGCTACCTTTAGCTGTATGTTTATGACATTTGATATTTCTGTTTGGAGCTCATTTCAAGAGATGGGATGTCTTAAGCGTGATGGATCAAATCCTCTCTTCAGTTTCATTCATGCAATCCTGGAGTACTAAGTGGGGTTGCACAGGTGTAGCTGAGGACAGCCTTTAGCCCAGTACATATTATGACATATCTCTAACTATTCCCTCTGGTCACCTTTGATTCCTTGACATCAAAATTGAGGGAGACTATATATGAGCTGATTGCTAAGCACAGTGCATTCCGTCTCAGAGGTTATGTTGCACTCCTCAAGGCTCTGACAGGGAAAAACAGAGAGACATCTGTGAGCTATGGGAGATGCAAGTACATTCTGCCATGAGGTAGAACAGGCAAAATTTTAAATTATTCTTAAGAAGAGTGATCAGTGGTGACCACCTCTGTGTAAGGAGGTTTAATATCCAAGGTCTTTCAATTCCTGTTGTCTCTTTTTTCTATAAAATGCCAGCAAACACTTCTGTGGTTAATTCTAAGGTGAGCTGGTGTAAGGGCAGGGAGGTCTCCCTGGCCAGTCCCCTGTCATCAAGCACCATGCTGTAGGTGAGCCCTTGCCTCAGCTTCCCCTCACCCAGGGTATAACTAAGTCCAAGCAGGCCTTTCTATTATTTATTTAACAGAAAAGACCAACACAAAAAGCTTCAGTTAGCTACTGCACTGGAAACTCTCCACCCCTGGCTTAACCAGTCTTATGTCTCGTCCCTCCTGCCTGGAATTTGGGTCTGTGCTGGGCATTCTGCTGGATGCCAGTCTTCCCTGACCAGTGCTTCACTCTCTGCTGAGCTAGAGGTTACCCCTTAGTAGCTCCCAAGGCCCCTCACTCACTTTATTCTCTTGAGCTGCTCTGGTCCCTTGCCTGGGAGCACTTTCTCTTTAGGCCTGTTCCTGCTCTCCATGACCTCTGCTCTCCTGGGAGACACCACTGGGAGTAGCTTCCTACCCAGCCCCCCCCCAACGGATCCTCTCTCCTCAGGTGGCTTCCTCTTCTCTGGGGCTTCCTGACTGAGCCCTCATCAGCCTGTATTAGGCCCAGATATTCCTTGCCTAATTAACTGTTAGCCAGCTACTCGAGCAATTAACTATCCACTGGTGGATCTGGGTTGTCTCATTTTCCTTAGTAGAGTGTAGCTGTGACAGGAAGGACTAGCCACTACAAGTACATGCCTAGCATCTTGGATGACTATGTATTCAAGGTACTAGCCCCTCCCGCTGCTAGCACTGCTGTGACTACAGTCTATTTTTAGCATACTAGCTTGATGAAAGCTAGCTTGAGTGTGTCATCTTGAGCTGGGAATCACAGCCCACCTTGGACACATCTTGAATTGTAGTCATGTCCTAAATGAGAAGGACTCCTGCCCTTGGAAGCAGATTTAAGAAGTTCAGGGATGGGTCCAGATTACTTCCAGCCTCCCTCTTAGAAAATAGTTTGGCAGCAGTAGCAGAACAAGAGGTGAGATATTATGGTCAACATTTTCAAAGGGGAGCCACTGATTCTGGGTGTCCCATTTCATAGGTAACCAAGCTTTAGCCACCTTAAGGCCTGCTGTGCCAACTGCTGTAATTCATGAGTAGAGGTTACCCTGTGAATTGCAAAAGTTACCAGAAATTCTTCATGCGTCTCCTCCACCTTCTTTATTTGTGCAGCATTCAGCCAATGATTTGTTACTTAATGAGTTTGCTCCTTTATTGTGAGAGTTTTTAAATGACATCATGTTGATGGATATCTATGAGAGGGATGGGTGGGTGGGTAGTGAGAGAAAAGAGGTGAAAAGGAAAGTGGGGAAAAGTATGTTTACATTTTTTGATACAATGTAATATCCATCATGTAGTGATATTTTTGTTTTTTTGCAAAGCAACTTTTAATAATGAGATCCTAATGCCATTTCTGAGTTCTGGTTATTTCATAATACATTCAGGACTCTCTGCCATAGCTTATAACGTCACCAGATAAAACCTTAGTGGCGTTATAGTCTTGTAATTCACAGTTGCTTAGCATTTATTCTATATATAGTGTATGCTTTGCTTGTTTACAGAGTAATGTCTGATTAACAAACCTTCATGTCAGACTGTTGCTGTAAAATACCAGCTGAAGATAACTAAATGGGAGCCTTAATAAAGAGGCATAGATAAAAAGCTTGCAGACAAAATCAGGACTAGCATACAAATATACTGTATAAACATAAAATCCTGGCATGCATATATAGTATGTGAGCTTTGTATTTCCTCAATACTTTGTTTGTTTTTTTTAATCTCTCATCTCCTACAATGTCAGCCAAGTTCATTGCAATTTAGATATACACCTCAGGTGTCTGGCATCCTTATCAGACTTGCTACGGTTTCAAAACAGTTGTTACACAACCCTACCTCCAATTAAAGCAAGTGGCAGCAAAAACTGGGGCTGATCAGGAATATCCTGATTCAATCTTGTGAAGTGAAACATTGCTTAAGATAGGAGAAAAAAATATATAATGGTTACACATCTATTTCCCAGGACAAGTTTAGAACCCTAGATATCTGCCCTCATCTAGTTTCTTGGAAATTCAAGCACAGCTTCTCATGTGCCCTTACCGATATAAGCAGCCTCATTAACTTCAATGGTTCTGATCCCATCAGTCAAGACCACCCATGAGAGTAAGGGTCTTCAGGATCCTAAGTTAGTGGCTGATAGTAGATTTTAAGTAAATGTAAGTATCTTCCTGCTCATCCCACCCTCATTAGCTCTTTCACCTACTGTCCTTTCCTTAATGAAACTTCAGAACCACTGAAGTTGGATAAAGAAAAGGAATACTTGTGGCACCTTAGAGACTAACAAATTTATTTGAGCATAAGCTTTCGTGAGCGACAGCTCACTTCATCGGATGCATGCAGTAGAAAATACAGTGTGGAGATTTATATACACAGAGAACATGAAACAATGGGTGTTACCATACACACTGTAACGAGAGTGATCAGGTAAGGTGAGCTATTACCAGCAGGAGGGGCTGCGGGGGAAGGGGGATGGAGTGGGATAGTAACTGTCCAGAAAAGATAGCTTCTGCCCAGGACCCCTGATTTCAATGGGAATTAGGTACCTAAGTACTTTTGAGGATCTGAGTCTGTTTCTAAATTGATTGATTAATAAAATAATTTAGTCTAATAACTAAGGCTGGGATTTTCAGAGGAGCTTAAAGGAGTAGGTACACAATTCCCACTGAATTTCTTAACTTCATCAACGTCATAGCCCAAGAGAGAGAGTTCTGTAGGAATTTTGTATTTAAAGAAAAATGTGGTTTTGATGCGCCTGATTTCTCTTCCCGATGAATATTTTGAATCAATTTCACATTTATTGAACTTTAACTGGTTTATCTATACAATGATTAAATAGTTACCCCCCTGGGGAATTCAAGCTATGATCACTGAGGTTAGTTGGATGAATTAGATCTTATCCTTATCCATGTAAATATTCCTCTGTGCACATATAGCCAAGTGGGACAGGCTAGTAGCTTAGCAGCATTG